ATAAATAAAAAAAAAACAACATATTTCAACACTCACAGATCTTATACTTGGTCTTGCTGAACTCGTGGATATGCGCCACCTCGCCGCACTGGGCGAACAGCAGCCGCACGTAATCCGTGCTAGCTTCGTAGGGCACGCCGACGAGCACGGCCGTTTCGGCGCGCGACTCGACCGCAACTGAGATGGCGCTGCCGTCGAGGACCGTTCCCTCCTCGTTCAGCGCCTGGGGGAGGCGGCGGTTAGCGGGGGGCGGGGGTACGGACCAGTTACACGGGGTCTTAGGGGAGAATTGCAAGGGCAAAGATCGAGATTTTAGATAGGATGTAGTTTTGATTTCAAATCGGAAGGATTGGCCGTATGGATACAAATATAATCGTATATACAGGGTGTTAGGTAAATGGGTATAATATGAGCCGACACTAGCCCATGTTAACATATGCATATAAATTGTATGGTGAAGTCAGAAAATTGATATCATCATTTTAATTATTTTAATTTTCATACAAATCTGATTTTATAAATTTTATTTTGTATGAACATTTAAAAAATTTAAACGATGATATCAAATTTCTGACTTCACCATACCATTTATATGCATAATTATGTTAACATGGGCTAGTGTCGGTTCATATACCCATTTACCTAAACCCTGTATAGTAGATAAAAAATATATTTCCATTGGGCGCACATTCTTGCCGCGCTATTATACAGCGAATAGCAAATCGAAGGCGCGTTGTTGTAACTAATCCAATCCAGTTATAGCCATTTTCGTCCGTTTTAGGTCAATTCATCCGTCCGTTTTAGGACATTAATTTAACCTCTGACTGTAGCATAACTAAACTCTAGCGCGTAACGTAGTAAGTTTTTTCTCGGGTTTTTCTCAACCTTTGACCCCGTGTAATTGGTCCACAAAATAATATTTGTAGCACACTTATAAATTCGGCATCCCGTACATAAAATAGAAATGACGTTGCGGTGTCGATCGGTACCTTGCCAAATTCATAAGTGTACCCTTGACCCTAAGTTTGACCTCATAATTACGTTGTTTACCGCGCAAGAGGTGCCGATTGTATAAAAGCAATCGCAGAATCCGTTGCCGGTGGCAAAAGCCAAAAGACAACTGCTTTCTGTTTATTATCTAAGTTGCTACATGCATTTATTAGAACAACTGGAGCACAAGATAATGAATGGGTCTAAATAGATAACATCGCGTTCGTATCGTTTGTATTTGAGCTTTAGGCCCTTTTCACACGTTCCGGTTGCCGGCTAACCGGCGCCGGCTACCCGGCGTCAAATGAGCTTTCACACGCTCCGGTTGATGACGGCAGTATCGACTAGAGAGCCGACAAGAGTACAGTCTCGTTCATTTCATACTTTCAAAAATGGACCGTGAACAAATAATTGCAATGTGGCTTTTATATCCTAGACTGCATCCCACTTAACATCAGGTGCGATTGTGATCAAATACCTGCCTTGTTATGCATAAAAAAAATATATATCGAAGACGAAAATATCTGCGCCGGAAAAAAATATCANGACCGGCGCGTGTGAAAGCTAGTTGCGTGTTCCATACACCACTGTCAGTTCGGCCGCCGGCTAACCGGTGCCCGGCGACCGGACGTACAGTGGTGGATCCGGCGCGCACCCGGCGACCGCCTGCCGGATTAATTTACGCCGGAACATGTGAAAGCTCCGTACCATGCCCATACACTTCACCACCGGGTACCCGGCGCCGGATAGCCAGCAACCGGAACGTGTGAAAAGGCACTTAGACGCCAAAGTCACCCTTCCCCTTACTTGAACCCCTTCACAAATCCGGAAAATCGCGTCATGCGCAGTTCTACGCAGCTAACTTCAGACCCATAAACTTAGCGCAACTTATTCACCGCACCGTGTAATCGCACCTCTTTGCGTTAATCAGCGTAACTATGAAATCAGCGCGAGATTAACCTGTTTGTGTATAAATATGCTAAAATGTACAGAACTGTCGGGAGGTGTGTATGTTAGAATTATTAGGTATTTGTATTGTATGAACCTTAGAGTCGACGATTGTGTGTACTTCCAAACTTTTAAAAGGTTAAAGCACTCTTGAATGTTCGTCCGCCGCATGCGTAAGGGCGTGACGTCATTGGGCATGTGCAAATATATGAGTCAGTATCAGTAGTCGGTATACCGCGAATCGTACTACCCAAAATTGCTATCTCACTATGCCAAGTAAATCATAGCCATGTTGTAGAAACAAGTATACATCTAATATTAACCTATTATGTAAGTGTTTCGTGGGTTAAGCTCGATTGTAAAGCTCCCCTAAAAACATTCAGAATATAAACAAATTGTATGTAAAATAATAATCATAACACATATTCTGTGTAACTCATAAAAAATAGTAAGTTCATTGTACACCAGATAAGATAAAAAACCGACTACTTAATAATATTATTATAAGCAACATTTAGATTGGTTGATTTACATACAGTTAAAGCTTATTTAATAGCATTCCATTATTGACCCATGTTTGATGGCAAATTATGGAATTTCACAAACACAATTATAATTACTGGCTTCATAAATAACATTATTTTTAAATCTGATAACTCACCTTGACACAAAGTACCATAGTAGGAGTAATTTGAAAAAGATGGCATTGTAATTATTATAATAAATTCCAATAGTTAAAATACTATTTTTTCCTGGAATGTGTTGTGTTGTCCTTAGTCCATTGTAACATCTTTCACATAACTCCAAATCAGTTATTGAAGAAAACATTGTTTTGTTAAAATTATTAATTAGGTAAAACATATTATAATGGACTGGACTGGAAGGAGCTTAATGCAAAGTGGCAGCAACTAATAATTTAAGTTTCTGTAAGCTAAGTGAATACATCTGAAAACAATATAGGGTGTTCTTGTCATGTTAATGTAAATAATGAGTTCATTATTATTAGTTGCTGCCTAATATCACACAGAAATAGATAAGACGTCACAAGTGGACATGGAGGCATCAGCTGACCTGCTACTTCACAACTAATTGACACATAATTTTGATCATTACTAGGAAACTTGACAAATCCAAGAGAGGTGCTTGTCTCAGTAGAAGACCAGCCTTTTCAAACATTCAAATAGTCATTCATTCTGCATGACTTCAGGATCTAAACATTTACTCAGTTCAAGGTGTAATTTGGAAAATCTTAGCCTTATATTTAAAGCACCTTCATGGCCACGCCAATTGAAGGCACCATTAAACTAATATTACTACTAAGAGCTTCAATAGAAGTAAATAATGTTAATAAACTTTTGTTTACCTTGTCCAGAGACTCTTTGTTTTTGAATTCGACTATTGCCGATAATGTCGGAGTTGTGGTCAGTTCAGTAACAATGATTGGACCACGTCTAAAAAGAAAGAAAAATTTCTCTCATTAATACTCCGCTCCAGTCGGTGTTGCCTCATGAGCGCTGTTTGCAGCTCGCAACACAAAGTAAAATAAATTACACAAAAATATTGAGTAACAAATTATACTATTCAATTATAGAAAATTTAGGCCAAACATGAATAAATAGAGCTTGATTGATTATCAGAAAAATCATGATAACTCAGGGACTGATATTTGAATGTTAGCAAAAACATGTTTTAGTAAAAAAGTTCCGAAAAGTAAACAAACAACTCACTTGACGCCGAGGACTTCTCCATGCTTCGAGAACAACTCCTTGAGTTTCTCTTGGTAATCAAAGAGGTAGCTCGACGGGAGGTTCTCGACGAGGAGTTTACCAGTTTCCACTTTCTCCTCTTTCTTGTCCTCGGGCTTGGGCTCATCGGCGTTCTCGTGGCCCTCGCCCTCAGCCGCCTGCTCCGTGGCGGCCTCGTCGGCCTGCTCGGGCGCCTCCGCATCGCCGTTGTTGTCCTCCGCGGCCTCCGCCGGCTCCGCGGCCTCCGCCTCCTGCACCACCGGCTCCTCTACCGCCGCCGCCGCCGCCTTGGCCTTCGCCGCCTGGTTCTTAGCACCGCGCCCTTTCTTCTGAGCGACCATCTTTACTCACTAAAAATAACACGAACACCGAACTAATCAATATGACGCGGGATCGGTCACGCTCTCCTGATCGGCTCGTTTCCCGCCATGATAGTCTATTTTTCGCGAGCGAATTTATCTACTTGGCGCCCGTTCACGACTCTCAAGGACGAAGTTTGTTACGCGCGAAACAACGCAATTACGACAAAATTATGTATGTGCACTGGGATTTTTGCAAAAACATGATTTGGGAAAATGCGACGCAACGCCATAACGGTAAATAGAGCCTACGGTCGCCATACGCGCCATGGAGCATGGCGTTGCTACGAGTGGAAAATACCGAAAGCACCTATCGTGAACTCGCACTACAGTAACTTCCTATCAAAATCAGAAACTAATATTATAAAATACAGGTTTTCACTTACCGAATAACTATTTACAGTTAAAATCAATGATAGCACAAGTCCTAACGAAATGACGCCAAATTAGAAGCAATAATAACACGAAACCGGCATCACGCAAGCGCAGCCGCCATTAAAAAGTGAGGTTATCAGTGTTGCCATTCTTGAATAACATTTTAGAATTTATTTTACACACGAATATTTATTTTGTGTATCCGAACGCAATGGTAGAAAATGCACAGTGGGTTGAGCGCGTTTTTTACTTTGGTCGCGGGTTCGATGTTCACTCACAAAACTCACAATCACAAAATGTTTGATAAGGAAGATTTCAAAACATTATTTTACTATGCTGGCAAAAATCAACATACTGATTGAAGCTGGTAGACTCAAGAAAGAGGAAATAGAGCGTTTATTTAGTGTTCTTGTTCAGGAAAATTGAGGAAAAGTTCCGTATGAGCACTGGGAAATTGAGAAAATTCGTATGCGACACAGTATGCCAGCCATATGCCCATAAAATTGTACTTCACATTTTAGATTAATAAGTGTGCGAATACCTTTATAGTCGTCGCGTTGATATTTTGACATTACCTAACTGACGTGAGAGAGATGTCACTCAAAACATAACCTAAAAAAGCAGCACGCAGAAACCACAAACAGAAAGAAAGATTTTCGCTCTGTTTATCATGTGTTAATCTATTACTATAGTTCTCCCTTATTGTTTTATCAAAATGAAGACAAAGACATTTGGTGAAAAACCAACTTCCCCGGAGAAGAAACGATCATTTGAATTTACACATTATTACACTTCCGTCGCCGAAACCAAAACAAGGCTGGAAGAACATGGTTTACAACCACAAAATTTCATCAAAGATAACAAAAAGTCTGGACTTCCATTCAAAAACTCTCCTAAGAGGAAGAAAAACAAGCTTGAACCATTGGACATATCACACATTGACATTGAGGGTCCCAGTTTGATCGCTACTGCTAAGAATACTTCTCTCAATGAATCGAAACTGACATCCACACCTCGGTCTTCAGCAAAGGATAATACGCCGAAGTCGATCATGAAAAACAAGTCGTCAACAAACAGCGAGGAACAACTAGACACCTCCCAATACAGTCAGAAAAAACCGAAAAAGAGGAATAAGTCTGTGAGTTTCATGCTTGATGATACGGAGGAAGTAGTGGTTAAGAAAACGAAGTCAAGTGAATCCTTGGACAGAAAACAAGATACCCCCAAAAAACAGGAAACTCCCAAAGACTTGAATAAACAAAAAAAACTTAAAGGTAACAAGAGAGATGTAAAGGGGAAAGAAAATAAAATAATTGACAATGTAAAATCAGACTCTGATGTTATGGAGAAAGTTAAAAAGGCAAAAGAAGACAAAAATAAGATAGTAAACAATACTTCAAAACTTGAAGGAGCTAAGGAAAAAAAAGAACAAAAAAAAGATAAATTCAAAAAAGTTAAAAAGCAAAATTCAGAAGAGAAAATGGAGGAGGATGCTGTTGTGGGAGAGAGCAACAATAATGAAGACCAAACTGAGAACAAAAACCGTCGAGCAAAGAAAAAGAAACATTCCCCTAAACAAACTGCTGACACAGATGGGGAACCAGCAGCAAAATCCCAGAAAAAGGAAATTAAACCTGAGGCCATCGTTGATGACCTGGAAAGCCTCAGCATTGGGGATAATGCGCATACACTCACAAACTTGCTGGATGAAATGACTGTGGCTGAAAAAGATAAGAGAAAGAAACATAAAAATAAACTTAAAAAGGCTAAGAAGCCATCACCAAGCTCTTCCAGCAGTGAGAAAGCATCCACAGAGTTGGAAAACATAGAAGAAGGGAAAGAGAAGGTAAAATGGCAGAAGAGGAAGTGGAACAAGGACAAAAAAGGTGTTGCTGAAGTAGACAGCAAGTCTAGTATCATTGTAGACAACTTGCCTCTGTCCATTGTGTGTGATTACAAGAAACAGTTGGCTGATCATTTCAAGAAGCATGGAGAAATAAAGGGGATTGGGTTAGTATTTTGTGTAATTTTCATGAGTTTTAAACTGAAAATAGGCAAAAAATTGAACCACACTTGCATTGAGGTCTCTCTTTGAGTTTGTTAACTTTTTTAAATTTTTTCATAGTGTGAGTTTTATGAATAAAGTTGATTCCAGTTCTCTCAAACTCAATATCTAAATTATTAAATAACTTTTGCAGAGTGGCTGAAGTGTACCCAGCAGAAGACTCCAAGCCAGTGTTCACAACCTCTATACAATTCTGTGATGAAGCAGCAGCTGTTGAGGTATTAACTACTTTATCAATCGTACAAATCGTAATAATTCATTCTGAGGCTCATTCACATCTCTAAAGCTATTAACCAGAGATTTTAGACTCATCCAGTCATTATTATATGTATTTTATTGTCAAAATAACATTCAAAGTATTATTTTTTCTAAATCTTGCTAACTTAATAGAAACGGATTAATGGTGAGGAGTTTTATTACTATTTTGACAAATTTTGTAATTTTCTCCTATTTCTAACTTAAATCTTTTATTTCATTATGCTTTAAATGTCTAGATGTGTAATTGAAAAGTATATTTAATTGCATGAATTTCTAAAGAAATTATCATGAATTTGTGATATTATTATTCTGTCCCCTTAGTAATTTCTTTAATAAGCAAGTCAAAGTAATTTTATCCTAAAATGACACCCCATATGTTTTTTGTTGCAAAATCACACCGAATACTTTGTTCGTCTATGGCGATATTTCCTTTCTTTTTTTCATTCCTCATTCTTTTTAGTGCCTGCATTCCACTTGTCTAAAGTCCGGTCGCCGAGCAGATTTTCGTCCAATGATCCCAAGCTACCCATCCTTGTCGCTCACGTGTAATTATATTTCTGCACACTCCCTGCGGCCGCTTGTCGCACAGTCGCGCGCGAGAGCGTTATAATAATTACACGCGAGCGATAAGGATGGGTAGCTTGGGATCATTGGACGAAATTCTATCTGCTCAGCGACCGGACTTTAGCTACCGTCTATTGTTTCCAAACTACCTTCACGCCATTATGCCCCGTATTCCCAGGCGCTGAAGGAAGACAACGGCTTGGTGTGCGGCGGGCGCTTTAACTATAGTCTGGTCTGTGAGCACGTAGAATTTTGTCCAATGACCCCAAGCTACCCATCCTTAATCCTTATCGCTCGCGCGTAATTATGTTGCTATCGCGCTCGCACACTCACTGCGGGTGCCAGTCGCACAGTCGCGACAGCAATATAATTACGCGCGAGCGATAAGGATGGGTAGCTAGGGGTCATTGGACAAAATTCTACGTGCTCACAGACCGAGCTTTAGTTTGGCTACCGTCTATTGTTTCATCTCCCTTCACGCCATTACCACCTGTATTCCCAGGCGCTGAAGGAAGACAACGGCCTGGTGTGAGGCGGTCGCTTTAACTAGTTTGGCTACCGTCTATTGTTTCCAAACTTAGTTTGGCTACCGTCTATTGTTTCATCTCCCTTCACGCCATTATGCCCTGTATTCCCAGGCGCTGAAGAAAGACAACAGTAAAGTCTGCGGCGGGCGCTTTAACTAATTTGGCTACCGTCTATTGTTTCCAAACTTGGTCTAGCTACCGTCTATCTGTATCTCCAGGCGCTGAAGAAAGACAACTTAAAGTCTGTGGCATCTTTAACTAGTTTGGCTACCGTCTATTGTTTCCAAACTACCTTCACGCCATTATGCCCTGTATTCCCAGGCGCTGAAGGAAGACAACGGCGTGGTGTGCGGCGGTCGCGTGCGCGTGCGCCTGGCGCGGCCGGCCACGGAGACGACGTTGGTGGTGCGCTCGTACGGGCCGCTCAGCGACCAGAGCGTGTCCAGCGCCTTCGCGGCCGCCGGCCGGGTGCGCAGCATACGACACCTCGTCAAAGGAAAAAAGTCTATTGGTATGTAAAAGTCAGTGATATAAGCTCTATGTCAGGGGCTCCAAACTTTGAAGCCCTGGGGCCATAATATTTTTTTCGGTATGTTGCAAGCGCCATAACAATTTATTTTTTTCTGCCCACCTATGCAAACATAGGCTTAGTCTTAAGCTGTCGCGGGCCGGATATGGCCCGCGGGCCGTAGTTTGGAGACCCCTGCTTTATGTCGACACACAGCTTGGTGGTTTCAAACCAGAGCCATAAAACTTAGCTTGGCGCCACTCTATGGTCTACTGCATATTAACTACGAAGAACTTCAGATATTAAAAAATGCATTAACAGCAACAGCTCTAAAGACATGCTAATGACTCGTGTCCTTTGATCACACATTAATTACGGTTTGTAATTATGGTGAATTCTTCTTACCACCATCTCAGATGTCCCATTGTGATAAATATTTCTTTTGAATAACAAATTAGCATTTGAACAATGTAAAAGCTTACGAACTGCAGATATTACAGTACTTTTAAATTTGGTCTACCTAACTTATTCTACTCTCATGGAAAAAAAATTATTCACAGCTGCAGCTTTCGTCGAATTCGACGGTCCCGACGCGTTGCAAAACGCCTTAAAGCTGGCCGAGAACGTGCGGATCGAGGGAAAGAAAATACACGTGTCAAGGTTTGAGCTCAGGAAGAAACCCAAGCCGGCCAAGGCCCCTGTAGAGGCCAAGGAGCCCGACAGTGAGGACTCTGACTAATGTTTTAGCTAGACGAGATTGTAATGGTGCGTCCACACTGGGCGAACGGGCTCGCGCGGCAAATTCGACATCTTGCTCACTCAAAAGCAAGGTGAGCAGGATGACCAGCGTGCTGCGCGATCCCGTGCGCCCTATGTGGACGCACCATAAGAGTATGTCAGTAGTGAAGGCCTGATAGTCAAGGCAAAGTAGCACTTATTAGAATCAAGATGGAAATGACACGATGAATTTTTTTTAATTTCCTTGAAGTAGAAACAAACTAATAATTTACATTGCGCGTGCCATACGCCCGCGACTGCAACGCAGTGTAAATGCAGATCATAATGCACACCCTAGTACTATGTTTTAAACTTACTTCTGGGATTTGTTTTATTCAAATACCTACGTCAATTTAACTTGTGTTATGTCTTTTCATCGTGTCATTTAATAATATTCGTCGACAAATCAATTCAGATTTCAATTCATAATTTTGCATTTTATTGTAAAAGTATAATTCCCACTCGTACAAATAGAGCGTAGTCATCGTTTTACGTGCTTAAATTGTTTTATTATTTTAATTTGTAGAAGTTTCACTATGTTAGAGTTTGAAATAATCAATTTTTTTAGAATTTTGTATAGGTCTGATGAACATGTTTCTACAACTTTTCGACGTAAACATTTTTACGATTTATTGCAAGAATATAATTAAAATATTTTATATGTGTCGAATCATATTTTAAGAACTACATTATGTATAGATTTTAAATATCAATGTACAATTAGTGTAATGTAGTTTTTTCGTACATTTTTACCCAAATGTAGTATTACCATTTCATCGTGCCAAATTCATCCCTCAGAAAGTATCAAGTAGATTTGCTACTATTTAAAGATAATTAATTATGGTGAAACGTAGTCACGGTAATTAGTATTATTACCGTGACGTAGTGTACGAAATTTCACGTTTTTTTATAGATACATCAATAGATCCAGACAGTTTAAGTTGTAGGTCATAAGATTATGCTTTTATTACAAATATTTCTTGATTATTCTAGGTCGGTGGGCCCTTCGCTTGAAGCGCAAGTCGCCCAGTAACCCTAGATTACCACTAAAGCAAGCTAATTAAGTGGTTTTAAAACACAATATTGTTTTTAAGTGGGTGATGTATGTATTTTTGTTGCAAGTTATTGTTCTATTTGACTGTGAATAAGACATTATTGAATAAACTTTCTCGTTGTATTTGTGGCTTTTTTTTACTTTACACCAAACTAGGAACAGTCACCACACCTCTATCATCACCTTACAAAAATAAAATAAAACCAAAAAATTAACAACAAGCTGCTCATGTAATTATTTTGTATGTAATGTTGTTGGTATACCTAAATAAATAACATGAAAAAAAACTGCAAAACTATGTTTCCGCCCGGGATCGAACCGGGGGCCTTCTGCGTGTTAGGCAGATGTGATAACCGCTACACCACGGAAACTTGAAATCAGAGGGCGAAAACTTGGATCCGGTCCAATCCAAGCAAAAAAATATGCGATATAAAAAGTGAAAGGAAGTTTTAAAATAAATCTAATAAAAGCATACGACAACCAACGTGTCCAATGTAACTGTGGCATCTAATGTGGTTGTGATAGAAGCTATTTTGCTATATACATGCCTAGTCATGTAGTCTTGTCAAACAACTTTGTACTGATCAAAGAAATCTTACTAAAATAACAAAACGCATGTAAATTGAAACAATAATTTATTGTGTTCCTTAAAGTCAACAGTTATGCGTTAAAATTAATTATACTGTATACACAAGATCCTTACCGACGTACACTACGGTACTTAATTACAATTAATTATTTACAATAGTTATTATTATGAATACGCTCCGTGACACGGATGTACCTTAACTACCAACATAAATAATACTTAATATAACATAATAACATAAATAATACATATAAATTGCAATTTATATATTTAAAATATTACATATTTATATCGTCGATTTATTATAAACACTCTTTATTCTATTCCGATTTCAAACTTACAAATCCAATCGAGTCTCTTCAATAATTTCTTAATTAATTCGATAAATAATAATAAAACTACTGTAACAAGGCAATGTTGTTCATGAAATTATTTGCCATTCAGCGAGGAAATGCAGCCAGCATTCTCGCCTCTTTGCCTCACGGACACACTTTTATTTTTGAGTAAAATAAGTTTATATTTTTATTTTGTTTAGAGTTAAGTTTACTTTTATGAATTGGCTCGCGCCAGTACGTCGTTATTGCGGTTGTAAATTTAAAATTCAAGGTGGATAAATCAAAATCAAATCTTTAAGTATCGTGACCGCACTACACGATGGCATCGTGCTCTGTTGGTACGAAAATCATCAAAATAGAATACGTTGTGCGGAGATAAAAAAAAACAATAAATAAAATACAGCAATGAAGTCTTATTTCAATACTATTTCGATATAATATTAGAACGTCAATTTCGTCCAGGTCAGTCGTTTATTAACGTATTATTAATAAATAAATGTCGCATCGACCAGAGTTGAGCTCAGGGCCATTTCACAAAGTAAACTCATTTAATTTCGTCCAGAGAAACTTTTTTTAGTGCAATCAAGCGCAAAATATGGTGATTTATGAAACATGTCCTGGCTTTCTACAAGTTATTTTACGCTTTGCAATGTAATCTATCGAAAAAGAAATTAAGAAAGTGATGAGAAACAAACGCGAGGATATCACAAGTGTCGCTCAACATCAGTCTATCGTCAGTATAGCGCGTAGCGTCATGCTTTAGCACACGCTGTCACATATTGCACATAAACAAATTGTTTGCCTAAACATTTGAAATAAATTCACAGATCACATAATTTTACTTACAAAACGATTACTCTGTTCATTACTATTCATTAGTCTGGATAGTGTAGCAGATCAAACCGATTCCACTCTGCAGTCTATAGCTGATATACGTCCCAAGGATCAGAACCATTTGTTGGCGGCTCATGATGCCGTTTCATGACTTCTCATTGGAGCCCATTTAAATCAGAAATCACAAACAGCTTCTTTTCGTCGCTCCGCAATTTTTAGTCAATTTTTCTTCCTTCTAGAGGAAACTCCAATTTCTCAAGCGTGCAAGAAAATCAGGCCCGATACATTTTACAATTACATTGTTCGAAATCATCCCGTATTTATTTTCGTCGTTTTCAAGTGCCAATATTTCGGGTGCGGCCAATAAACTGGTTTCCGAGCCGTGGTACGGTCAACGCGGTCTCCTCTATGCACCACGCGAGCGCGAGCGCGAACACGATGCGAATGCGCGTGCGCCGAGCGGAGGCGATGCGAGCGGCACGCCGCCGGCGGGGGCGGGCTATTCGTAGCCCTGAAGCAAACCCTAGGGATGCCGCTGGTTCGGCACGGGGATTCTGCAACAAATATTTATATTTATACACTAGCTGACCCGGCGAACTTTGTTCCGCCTTAATGGCAATAAATAATACAGACTTTTTTTTTATTTCAAACGGGTTAAAAAGTATCCTATGTCCTTCTCCTGGCTCTAAACTACCTCTCTGACAATTTTCAGCTAAATCGGTTCAGCCGTTCTTGAGTTATAAGTGGTGTAACTAACACGACTTTCTTTTATATATATAGATTTATACGTTCATTGTGGAAAACCTTGGGGGAGGCCTTTGTCCAGCAGTGGACGTCATTTGGCTGAAACGAGGATACATATAAGCACATAGCAATAGACAAATTTGCTGTATGGCGAATTTATATGACAGTTTATCTATACTTCTATACTAATATTATAAATGCGAAAGTAACTCTTGTCTGTCTGTCTGTCTTGCTTTCACGCCTAAACTAATGAACCGATTTTGATGAAATTTGGCATATAGATAGTTTGAGTCCCGGGAAAGGACATAGGATAGTTTTTATCCCGATTTTTGAAACAGGGACGCGCGCGATAAAGTTTTTCTGTGAAAGACAAAATTCCACGCGGGCGAATCCGCGGGCGGAAAACTAGTTTATTATAATTGTCATGAATTTACAATGGATCTCGTGTAAAGTATAAGCATTTCAGTGAGCCGAGAATAAAATTATGACTTTCCTTTTCGTGGCAAAGAATCTTTTGCATTCTAAAAACGGGGTATTCAGGCTTTCCAATGAGGGCTATCGTTTTTATACTTAACAGTTGGCACCCCTGGCGATTGACAGGACCTTACTCTACAGTGGCGCCATCTTGATGAGTGCAAATACGATAGTCTTCCTACCACTTTCGCGCTCACCAGTTGGTGCCACTGTCTTCGCTACTAGCAAGTGACAGGACCTTACTCTACAGTGGCGCTAACTGGTGAGCGCTAAAACGATAGCCCTCATTCAAGGGCGTGTTAAATTTCAAACTGTCACTGACTTACCCGTAAAACGCAGGGAAGCTAGTGTCCGGATTGAACTGGAAATTGACGGGAGTTTTCGGGGAGGCGCAACTGTAGCTCAAGTAATCGTCGGACGCGTGCAGTTGCCTGTTCACGTTCGGCTCAGATGCGCTCCTGGTGATCTTGGGCATGGCCCGTAGCATGGACTCCAGGGAAGCCAGGATCTGCCGGAAGAGCGGGCGCTGCTCGCGATCAAACTTGATGCAGTCGTCGAAGAGACGCTTGAGCGCTTGCGGCGCGTCTTGGCGTAAGCGTCTCGCATCTGGTCGCAGCAGGCCGCGCCCTACCATCCATAGGATCTGAAGGGAAAAGGATTATAAATTATACATTGTGTAAAGTATAACATTAACAGTAGAAAATGTTGTCGGAAAATGTGTGAAACTTCATGAGCGTGATCTATCAAAATGATCACCCTATTTGGGATGTGGCATATAAGATCTAAGAATCTGTTTCATATCCGGCTCGAAGGACCAATACATTGCACGAACAGCACGATGCCGCAGGCGTCACGTGGGAGCGGCCCTGTATCGTGCAGCGGCGACACTCGCCTGGTCCTGTTGTCGAGGTGCGCTAGGGCAGCTCGCCGGCCATGAGCTCTAGAGCACGATGCCGTAGGCGTCACGTGGGAGCGGCCCTGTATCGTGCCGGCTCGCGGGAGCCGCGACGACACTCGCCTGGTCCTTGTTGTCGAGGTGCGCTAGGGCAGCTCGCCGGCCATGAGCTCTAGATAGGGTTTCNAAAATTTAGTATAGCTAACACTGAGTCTATTGTTTATATTTTAATTAAATACGATGTAAAAATATTTTTTATTTAATGTACGCAATGTGTGAAACGGAATAGATTTAGTGCTGGGGTATTTGTTGAATAACAAAATCGATTATTTCCATGGTTCATTAATCGATTGCAGTGAATACTTAGTTATTAAAAACATCACAAAAATCAACTATATTTTTCGATTGTTGACTTTAATAAACGCATTGAAAATAAATTAAAGTTTTTAATTTAAAGAAATAGAACCAGTACTTTTTAGGAATCGTTTTTTTGATCATGAAGTCCATGGAATTTGAATATTATCAATAAAAAAATGTTACAATAATATTTGTAATTAAAAAAAATATGTTTTTTGTTAAATAACACCTATACAAAATATTTCTCTAAAAGTAGGTTTTACTAACTCTTAGAAAAAAATCGATAGATAAATCGCTATGGTTTAGTTATGTGACATCTCTATAACTTTCAAACTCGAAACGTCATACGAATCATCTTACGTGAAAAAGACTATAAGATAAGATTATTAGTTAATATTAATTATGAAAGATTTAATTTTTTGTTTGTTTCCTTACTAAGTGTTACTAAATTCTAATATTGATTGTTGTGCATTCAAGTAGGTGTATTAGATTAAAAAACCTGTGTTTTTATTAAATTTCAACCGATTTCAACAGTTTTAATTAAAAGACTCGAGACCCGAGAAAACTTTGGCCTCGAGAATTCCCGAAACTCGAGAAAAAAAATAGGTCGAGAAATCAGAAACCCTAGCTCTAGAGCACGATGCCGTAGGCGTCACGTGGGAGCGGCCCTGTATCGTGCCGGCTCGCGGGAGCCGCGACGACACTCGCCTGGTCCTTGTTGTCGAGGTGCGCTAGGGCAGCTCGCCGGCCATGAGCTCTAGAGCACGATGCCGCAGGCGTCACGTGGGAGCGGCACTGTATCGTGCCGGCTCGCGGGAGCAGAGCGACACTCGCCTGGTCCTTGTTGTTGAGGTGCGCTAGGGCAGCTCGCCGGCCATGAGCTCTAGAGCACGATGCCGCAGGCGTCACGTGGGAGCGGCCCTGTATCGTGCAGCGGCGACACTCGCCTGGTCCTTGTTGTTGAGGTGCGCATAGGGCAGCTCTCCGGCCATGAGCTCGTAGAGCACGATGCCGTATGCGTAGACGTCGGAGCGGAAGGTGTAGGGCGCGGGCTCCTCCTGGCGGATGACCTCGGGCGCCATCCACAGGATCGAGCCCGTCGGCTGCTGCCACAGCACGCCGCCCGCGCTTGATGTGTCTGTGAAAATTATAATTCATGAAAAGTTGCTCTAAAGTCCGGTCGCCGAGCAGATAGAATTTCGTCCCATGACCCCAAGCTCCTTATCACTCACGTGTATATTGCTGTTGCGCTCGCACACTCACTGCGGCCGCCCGTCGCACCATCACGAGAGCAGTATAGTTACGTGCGAATGATAAGGATGGGTAGCTTGGGGTCATTGGACGAAATTTTATCTACTCGGCGACCGGACTTTAGTACCGAGTCTGCCGTATTGGGCTAGTTTCCTAAAAAAATATTTTGCGTTGAAGATAGGCGTGATGTCACGCCGTGCTACACTTTTCACCAAGCAGTGACGTCACGGATCTCCTCTTTAGAGTTTTGGCGCGCTTTATCTCTGACAAATTTCATTGATTTGATAAAGCGAAAAATAGAAAAATACGTCCGAATTATGAGGGTTGAAAGTAACTTACCTGACCACCGTACTTTGGCGGTCGCCAGACCGAAATCGCCAATCTTCACAGACCAGTCGTCTCTCAGGAAAATATTGTTTGATTTCAAGTCTCTGCAAGAAAAAAATAACATTATTATTTATTTGTTGAAAATGTGGTCACCATTCGAGAACTTTTCTGCTCCAACAGCCATAAGTTCTACGAACTATACTCAAGCTTGACAATGGGGATGTTGCCTGGGTCAAAAAGCAAGAGTTTTAATTATAGACTAAGAGCTAGTGAACGCCAGACCTACGTCATTTTATAAAAGCTGAAAGTTTGTCAGCGTATGCTCCCAATATAGGATATAATGTTGGTGAATTATGAAGTTTGGGTCGTGGTGGCTTTGGGAGCTACCCTAAAAAAACTGTCTGGCAAAGAGTTGGAACTGTCAAAACTGTCTGGCTGTTGGGGAAAATACTTCTAATTATTGCCCCAATATTATACATAAAAATCAGATTTTATAGTATAACGTAAGTCTAACTTTTACGGTGGCTTTTTCTGTATATTCAACAGACTGTAATTCTACTAACGTTATACCATCTAGAGGTGGGCGCCACGCCGGCGCGCCGCCGCCGCCGCGAATTTTTTCACGCCGCCGCCGCCGACGACCAGCTGTCGGCGCGCCGATACTGATACTGTACCAACTATTTGCAATTTATTCCTCTTCTATACTGTACTAATTTGTGTTTCGAACGCAGAAGAACTATTTTTTTATTGAGTTGAGCGGCTATTCTAGTTCAATAAAGTCCTAGTATCACTGCGACCGGTACCGATCTATTGTGATCGGTTTTCCTTACAGTTCGCCTCCGAGTCCTGCATCCATTAGGAATTGCAGTATGTTTTGGGGGGCGATATGTTTTACATCTTGTGGGCTTAGGATGTGTTTGCCCAGGTGTAAGCTCCGCTTGCGCATCAGAGGTCCGCAGTCCGTGAGCATGTGTAGTGGCGTTTCATCTGCCTCTTGGCACATCCTGCACGTTCTTGTTTCGGACAGTCCCATAGTGGACAAGTGCTTGTTTAAGCTGCAGTGTCCAGTGAGGGCTCGAACTAAGATGCGCATTTTGAGTGCCTTTTCACACGTTCCGGTTGCTGGCTATCCGGCGCCGGGTACCCGGTGGTGAAGTGTATGGGCATGGTACGGAGCTTTCACATGTTCCGGCGTAAATTAATCCGGCAGGCGGTCGCCGGGTGCGCGCCGGATCCACCACTGTACGTCCGGTCGCCGGGCACCGGTTAGCCGGCGGCCGAACTGACAGTGGTGTATGGAACACGCAACTAGCTTTCACACGCGCCGGCCGGTCAGTCGTCCAGGTACAGTCTGCGAGAGTTGCAGTTTCTCATTTTTGTATCCTGACGTTGCAAAGAGTTCTTCAAACGGTTATGTAATTCGTCAAAAGTAGTTGTACTTGGAAAACCTGTCTTCATGTGCTCGTAAATCTGGGAATAATGTATAGAATGCATCTAATGCTTCTCTTTTCATATTAATAATTTCTTGATATTTCTTTCCGGCGCAGATATTTTCGTCTTCGATTTTTTTTTATGCATAAGTAACAAGGCAGGTATTTGATCACAATCGCACCTGATGTTAAGTGGGATGCAGTCTAGGATATAAAAGCCACATTGCAATTATTTGTTCACGGTCCATCTTTGAAAGTATGAAATGAACGAGACTGTACTCTTGCCGGCTCTCTAGTCGATGCTGCCGTCATCAACCGGGGCGTGTGAAAGCTCATTTGACGCCGGGTAGCCGGCGCCGGATAGCCGGCAACCGGAACGTGTGAAAAGGCACCAACTCTCGCAGACTGTACCTGGACGACTGACCGGCCGGCGCGTGTGAAAGCTAGTTGCGTGTTCCATACACCACTGTCAGTTCGGCCGCCGGCTAACCGATGCCGCCGGGCATCGGACGGACGTAGTGCCTTTTCACACGTTCCGGTTGCCGGCTATCCGGCGCCGGGTACCCGGTCGTGAGTGCCTTTNTTGACACTAAAGCCTGGTCTTCGCTATGTCGGCATTTTGGCTAAAATTAACGCTTTCAGACTGTTGCTAGCACATAAAAATATTTTTCTACCAAAATTTAAGTATATTTTCTAGTGAAAAAAAAAAACTTACCAGTAATTAAGACGTATGCACTCGGCATATTATTTTTTTCAATTTAATGTTCATCCCAGTGAACAAAATCAAATGAAGGGTTAAATACTTTTTGAAAGCTCATAAGGCCTAAATTATAATTCACATATCTTTTGAGACCCTTCTGACTCCAACTTCAATTCCTTTTGTAAAGACTGATTTTAGAAATGTTTTTTAAATTGTATTAGTAGTTTTAGTTTCACATCATTCATTTTCACAAAATCATACTATTACTAATGTACACTCCCAATAATAATGTAATGTTTGTCACATGTAGTTGTGTGATTAAATTATTTGCCCTTTGTTTGAATTTGTACCCTTATGTCTCATAGCATGTACGCGGCTAGTAAAATCACTTTTAGTAACATAACTATTACATTCCTTTAATAAGATAAATAAATAATAGCTCAAACAAAAAACCTTCAGATGTGAACAAGTTCTAAAGTTAAAAGGGATTTGTAGATGCGTTAATTTGTTGAAAAAAATTGTATGATAAAGCTGCCCAAAATATTATCGAATCACACTGCCAAAAGAAAAAAATCTATTTGTATTGTAACAAATATATATTTTTTGTAATGCAAATTAAACATAGCTTTACTGGTTTTTCTATTTAAAATGTGTATGGTATAGAATTCGTACATTAGTAGTATATTTTGAGTACTTATGATTTTAAATTATTTGAATGTTTTTAATTTTTGTCGTTAATTAAGGAATAAAGCAATTAATAAAACTGAACTTGTTTTATTGATTCCAAAAATAGTTTATAATTACTAAAACAATTAGTACCTACATAGCGGAATGATTAAGTTATTAACAGTAAATAAATTATTACAGAAGCTATCCCGCAAATATGACTGAAGAACGTCTTGTAACGGAAGTACCCAGTAGTTTGAAACAGCTTGCTCGTCTTGTTGTTCGTGGGTTTTACACAATCGAAGATGCTCTAATAGTGGACATGCTCGTAAGAAATCCTTGTAAGTATTATAAGTTTATTCTACAGTATTAAAATCATCAGCAGAAACCGTTAGCCGCTGCACTACTTGCATATCGTATGACAGCGAAAGTTATTCTAAGTCGCTTTCAGATCTTATTTATTTTATTTTATTTTATAAAACACATGACAAATTACAATTTTCAAAAAAATATTTTAACAAAATTGTTTTGCTTAGATCTAGATTGTAATTCAGAAGTATGTGTTATTAGAAAAGCAAGGTGGGTAGGTCAGTACAGTTCAAACGTCACCGCAGTCATGCACGTAACGTACGGACGCAAGCAAACAAATAAGTAGGTAGGTTAATCAGGCGAGACTCAGCGACGACGTCGAGCCGACTCAAAGTCATCACCGAGCCAGTCAGGCGCGGCGTAGAGGACATCCTGCAGTGATTTGATATAATGTGTGAGTCTGGAAGCAAAAATATCGATCTCCGGGTTATGCTTTGCCAATTCATTATAGGTACTGACGAGCCATTCTAACTAAGGGACTGTAAAAGGAGGTATTGTTTTTAAAAATCTGTAATGCAAAAAGGTTAGTTTTGTTGGATCTTCGAGCACTATCTATGTTTGATGTTAAATGTTATTTGAGAAAGTAAGTAAGGGGTGTCTATAACCGAATTAATTATTTTGTAAAGATAGACAAAGTCAAAATAAGCTTATTTTCGACGCAATTCAAGTTTTTGAATGCCAAATTTTTGAAGACTTGCTTCATAATCGAAACCTGGACGACCCAGACGCAGGCGATAGTTAAGCATTCGTAAACATTTCCGCTGTACCCGCTCAATTTCGTCAATATGTACCCTGTAGTGAGGAGACCAAACGGGGCTGCCGTACTCCAAGATACTCCTGACGATAGCGGAGAATAAATAAAGCAAGGACCGGGGTTTTTTAAAACCTTTAGTGGATCTGAAGACGAAACCAAGGAGTTGATTGGCTTTTGATGTTATGTGCTCATAGTGTGGTCGAAAAGATAGTTTTTCGTCAAAATAAACGCCAGATCTGTGTCCATTCCTCTTATTCAAGACAACATACAAGCATGAGTGGCAGCGACGGAGAGAGCAGAAAATGTGAAAACATCACACAACACTCGCAATTTTCCTTAAAGCAATGAGAACTATCTTATACTGAATGATTTTTTTACCACACTTGAGAGTTCGGGTTCGATTCCCAGGCCAAACCTAACCTAGTTTCCCAAATTATACCTACCTACTGCCTAATTACTAATCATTTTTCTATTTTAGGTATGAAAGAAGATGACATCTGCGAACTGCTCAAGTTCGAAAGAAAAATGTTGAGAGCCAGGATAGCTACATTGAAGAACGATAAATTTATTCAAGTTCGATTAAAAATGGAAACAGGTTTGATTTGCCTCTGCTTTATTAAGCGACTGAAGTAGGTACCTACTTTAGTGGATAACTATTAACTACACGTCTATAGATGCCGTTATTGTCTACATAAAACAAAAAGTTATGTCGCGCAAAATCATATTATATTTTCGTATTATAGGTCCTGATGGAAAAGCACAAAAAGTGAATTACTACTTCATCAATTACAAAACATTCGTGAACGTGGTGAAGTACAAACTGGACCTGATGCGCAAGCGCATGGAAACGGAGGAGCGCGACGCCACCAGCCGCGCCAGCTTCAAATGCCCTGCGTGTGGCAAGACGTTCACAGACCTCGAGGTAAGGAACTGCTAAACTGAGAGTAGCCCATAAATTGGTTGGTTACTGCAGTAATGAAGTGGTGCGGGAGGACTATAAGTATTACTTCTAGCATTCCGACTTGTTTTACTTACTTACGCCCCATGTCCATATCTCGCACATCGCTCTACTACGACAGAAGCCTTCTTAGTTATCATTTACAGAAACAACTTTTTTTCTCTGAAACTTGAAAGTAAGTCATGTAGCAAATAAAAGTTTGTTAGGTACAAAAGCCAAACTTCCGAGTTCTACTC